GCTCTTCTCCGTTGATGGTCCCAGAGGTCTCCGCTCCTATCCTGGAGATTTAATCACTCCCTTCCTTGTAACAAAAGGTCTACCTTTGCATTTCCAACTCTCATAATCTGTCCTGATAAGCATTATTTACCACAGTATCACGAGTTACCCATCTGTATTTTCTTTCATCAGCTCCGCCCAGACAGATTGAATAGTACCTACTGGAGATTCTGCCTTCCACCATGCTCCCTAGCACTAGGTTCCCTCTTGAAAGCCAGTCACTTCTTGCCTTTGTAGTACCCCCTCCCCATCTGAGTATCCAATGTCCAAGTTGCCCATCTCCGTCCATTCTGTGTGTGTGTGTGAATGTTTCTTGCTATAAGGATTTGTTCCTTCTTTTGAGTTGCTGCTCCATAGGTATAAGTCAAGTTCATCAGACTGTATCAGCTCACTCTTTTTTTTTTTCCCCTCCTCGTTGAGCTCTGATCATCCAGTCATCCAGTCCAGGTCACGTGGGTATCATCTGCAAGTGTCAGCCGGTAGCTCTACTCTCCTCTAGAGTCCTCTGTGGCCACGCCACTGACTCTGGGCCCAAGAGTCCCCAGGTCTCTTCACACTGCTTGCCAACCAGGTTCCCAACTGGGTCGCAAATATCTTTTTTAAGCAACATAAAAGATGACTATACATATGGACCTCACCAGATGGAATATATAGAAATTACAATGACTACATCTGCGGGAAGAGACGGTGGAAAAGCACAATGTAATCAGCCAAGAGCAGACCCCCAAAGTGATGGATTGGCACAATGGCAGCAGCAATGGGCTCAAGCATAACAATTATGAGGATGGCAGAGGACAGGGCAGTTTTTCATTCTGTTTTACATAGGGTCTCTATGAATTGCAACTGATTCAATGGCACCTAACAACAACAATGCTATCTAGTATTAATCAAACATAAAATTAGGAAAAAAATATATTTAAGTTTTGCTATCTAATTAAACAAAGATTTCCTTAATATGTACTTTGTGGCACTTAGCAAGTTAAGTACTGGAAATATAATCACAATTCTTTGCAAGGGTCATACAACCTCATGGAGTTAGACATGCAAGCAATCAAAGATGGTCATGAAGTTGACCAAAACTGATTATACTTAAGAAAAAATATGTTTTATTTAATAATTATATTTCACTAACCACAAAAAAATAAGTTGTATGAATATATATACTAATTGGTTTTATCCATCAAAAATCTCTCATCCACCCCTCCCACACACATAAACTCTTTTCAGTTCCCTGTGTCATGTTACTGTCCACAAGATAAGATTTGTTCTTCATTGTCCACAAGATAAGATTTGTTCTTCATTGTCCACAAGATAAGATTTGTTCTTCATGTAAAATTTCAGCCCATATTTTGTTTAATTTTCCTAAAATGCCTCTCAATCCTCTAAAAATGATTTAATTAAAGCATTCTCAATTTCCAAACGATGTGATAGAACACTCTGATAAGTATGGTGATTATTTTAGCTCTTATGTTTGCCAACTCCCACCATTTTTTCCCTTGTGCATAAGTTACTTGGCACCAATCATTTTTTACTCATCTTTTATTTCTAAAATTTATATAGAAAAATATTGAGTAACTATTCAATGAACTGAAATGATTCAATTAATTGAGTGTGCTTTAAACAAAACCAATGCTGCCGCATTATTTCTGAAACTTAAAGAAACATCAACATATTAGTGGAAGAGTAAATTTTATTGATGGATGAAAAACTACAGTGATAAGAAGTATGGATAGTCGACAATAATCATTGAATTCTGATGGAATTCTAATTGCTCTTCTTTTCACTTTTTAAGCACCCCCAAAAAACAAAACAAAACACTAAAACAACCCATAAAATTAGTCAGTTAGTGAACTAGTCATTTTTAGTTTCTTCAACAAAACTGCATAGTTGAGCAGTTGCACAGCATTAAATATATACATTTTGCAAAACCCTGAAAGTTTTTAATTTTTGTGTCGACCTCAAAGGTTAATGTAATCACCTACACTGGTCCGATTCAGAGTTTCTTTTCCCTTTTCTGCCACCCTGTAAAGAAAAAAAAGCAAATGGTTTAGAAAATCCCATTTTGGAGTCATTTTTTTCACATTACGAAATATGAGACAAAAGGGACTTTTGGGTATAAGAAGGTAATGATGATTTTTTTCTGTTTTTAAGTTTGTTGCAAATTCAAAGTTGGTTTGAACCACAAGGTCAATGGTTGAAGCTCACCAATGATTCCTTGGAAAACCTACATAGTGCTATGGGTCAGAACCAACTAGACAGCACTTAACAACCACCACCACCACCACTATGTTAGAAGTCTTGGTGTGGTGCTGTAGGATAAGCAATGGACTGCAAACGACAAAGTCAGCAGTTCAAACTCACCAGATGCTCCTTAGAAACCCTGTACAGGGTTGCTATGAGTCAGAATTGACCATTGGCACTTAACGAGGCTTTATCCCAGACCTACTCAATTAGTATTATTAGAAGCGACCCAAAGAATCTGTAATTCACAAAGTTCCTCAGGGATTCATTCTGATGATCAGTCAAGTTTGGGAAGTACTTGTCTGTGAAAGTGCATTTCTTAAAGCAGTGGTTATATCAGAGACAACATGGAGCCCAGAGTCTTTTGGTAATGTTACCAGATTTTTTATTTCTTTCATCCTTTTTCTGTTATGGCTCCCTTCTTGGTGGTCAACACATTCTTACATCAACCTTCTTAAACAAACAAACAATGCTACTGTTCATTCTTACTTAGAAGTTGATGTTAAGTGCCACTGAGTCAGTTTCAACTCACAATGATTCTGTATACAGTTTCCAAAGCACAGCTGGTGAGTTTGAATTGCCAACACTGTGGTTCAAACAAACCAACACTGCGGTTCAGTGCTTTATCCTATAGCGCCATGCCAGGACTATTACTTGGAAGTAGTTACTACCAATATTCATTCAGAAATTACACGTATGAGTATAGGTTATGTAGAACTTGAAATGCCTAATGACATGAATTAAATGAAAGATTTATTTTCTGTTATATGGCATTTATTACCTTGCTTTTCAACTGGAATTAAAACAAAACAAACATAGAATGATCCTTTACAACTCTCACAGGCAAAAGGAATCCTCCTAGGGATAAACTTTTTTTTATGTACTCCCGGCTTTCCAGCTTTTTGATGGTTATTCTATGATTAGAATCTTTGCTAATGGTGTTAGGTTGACACACATATATGTATACACATAGAAATATTTAAAACTTCATTTTGTTGGTAAGTGCTATCGAGTTGGTTTTGACTCATAGCAACCCTGCATAGGTTTCCAAGGAGCAGCTGTTGATTTGAAATGCCAACATTGTGCTAAGCTGTCCAGTACTTACCCTACAAACCACACCAGGACCCCCAAAATACTTATATGATGTATACATGCAGATACATATAGAAACAAAGCACTGATATTGTTAAAATTTCTTCACCCAGAAAGAATGCTGAATGAAAGCTGAATGCATTCTGTGAAACACTGACAGAATTAGAAAACCACTATTTTGCAATCACCAAAGTAATAACTGATACAAAGAATAACAGTGGATGCAAAAACATTGGATGAAAAGTTGTTGCAATAAGTATTGGTATTTCAAATCTATTATTTGTGATGAAAGCCCTTAAAATTATAAAAGCATACCTGGTATTTGGCTAGTTCTGCTTGTAATACTTTCACTTTAGATCTTTCTTGTTCTAATGCAGCATGAAGTGAAGTAACCTACAAACAAATATTCAATGAGAAAAAATTTTGTCTTTTTAGACAAGTAATCTAAATTCTTAACATTTATTAACAATTGTGTTTGTTTGACCAACTACTAGATTTATGATAGGTGGAAAACTCCCTACAATATCAAATATACTATATAGCTACATAGATAGAGCAAGTCAACTGTTTTAAAAGAAAAATAACGATGTGAAGGAAAGAAAATCAAGTCTGTGAAAAGGATATGTTCTCTCTCCTCTCTCAATCTTTACCTTACTGTGCATATTAGGAAAAATACAACCATCATCTTCCCCCATTCTTCAGGATATATCTATACCCTACAATTTATAGAATCATCTTTCATTTGCTGTAATAACAAAGCATAATTTATTTATACCACTTTCTTGCAGTGTTGATATTAATTTTCATTTAGGTAAAGTTAATAATGCAGAACTAAAGAGTATGCTAAGAAAAATAATGTTTTCCTTACCTGTATAGTTAGCTCATTCTTGATACTTTGTGATTCATCAACTTGCAGAAGTATTTCTGCTTTATCTTTCACTGACGAAAAAAGAAAAATGACACTATACTTATCTTTCCAGTCATTCAAATACTTTATAATTTAGTTAACCACGACAGCAGTGCAATCTGAATAATGATTTACTGTCCTCACACTTAACAGGTAAATTGCTATCATTATTACCACCACAGCAGGTTTTCTTGGAAATTTTACTTTTTTTGTAGTGTAAAATATTAGTTATACAAATATTATGAAAGATTCGTTTTTCCATCTATACTAAAAAGGACACAAAAATATTTTTCAAAAAAGTATTTCATAAAAGGAACATTATACTGACTGAAAAAAGTCAATCACAAAAGGACAAACATTGTATGAGACAACTATTATAAAAACTGAAGAAAAGGTTTTCATACTAAAAGAAACATTCTTTGATGATAAGCAGAGGTGGCAGGGAAGAGAAAGTAATTCATGGGTATAGAAGGGGTGAAGAATGTTCACTTTGTGGGCCATATGAGGTGCACAAAATCATTTGGTCTGGCCCTGCCAAGGCAACCACAGTTCCAGCCATCAAATTGCTGTTGTTGTTGTTAGGGGCCATCGAGTTGGTACCAATTCATAGCGACCTAATGCACAGCAGAACGAAACATTGCCCGATCCTGGGCCAATCTCACTACAAGTACAATGTCCTTCTGTAGGCACTGTTCCCGACTGATAATATGTCTGAAGTATGAGAGACGAATTCTTGCCATCTTGGCTTCTAAGGTACATTTTGGTTGTACTTCTTCCAACACAGATTTGTTTGTTCTCCTGGTAGCCAATGCTGTCTTTAATATTATTTTTCAACACCATAACTCAAATGCATCAATTCTTCTACTGTCTTTCTTATTAATTATCCAACTTTCACATGCATTTGAGACTACTGAAAATACCATGGCTTGAGTTACGTGCACTTAAGTCCTCAAACTGACATCTTTTGCTCTAAACAGCAAAATTGTCTAATGCAATACATCACTTGATTTCTCGACTGTTGCTTCTATGAGTGTGGTGGATCCAAGCAAATTGAAATCTTGGAAAACTTTAATCTTGTCTCCATTTATCATGATGATATTTATTGGTCTGGCGGTGAGGATTTTTGTTTTCTTTACACTTTGAGGTTAACCCATACCGAAGGCTGTAGTCTTTGATCTTCATCAGTAAGTATTTTACTGATGTCACTAGGTATACATAATCAGAAAGGTAACTCCTCAGATGCTAACTGAAAAGTTACTCTTAACTTTTGAGTTCATCCAGAGACTCCTCAGAGGAATGAACTGACAATCTACTTCCCCAAAACCAACCACTATGAACACAGTTCTACACTGACATACATCAGAATCAATCCGATGGCAGCAAGCTGGTTTGTTTTCTTATAAAGTGCACAGTTTTAATCTTATTATTATCTCTGATAATTTTTGGGATCTACTTTTAACACTCATGGAAGCAGCAGAAAAGAAATCGAATGATGTATGTTGCTGTTGTTCAGTACCGTCAAGTCAGTTCGGACTCATAGCATAGCGTTTTTGAGGAGAAGCTGATGGGTTTCAACTGCCTATCTTGTGATTCAAACAGCCCTATGGTCCAGTGCTTATCCTATAGCACAAGACCTGTCTAAAGTGCTCAAGAGCAAAGATAATAGTTTGAGGACTCACATGAGACTGATGTAAGCCATGGTATTTTCAATAGCCTTATATGTATATAAAAGTTGGACAATGAATAAGGAAGTCCATAGAAGAATTTATGCATTTGAGTTATGGTGTTGGAGAAGATTATTAAAGGTATGGACTGCCAGAAAAAACAAATCTGTGTTGGAAGAAGTACAGTTAGAATGCTCCTTAGAAGTCAGGATAGAAAAACTTTTGTCTCTCATATTTTGGACATATACCATCAAGAGGGACCAGTCCCTGGAAGAGAATATCATGTTTAGTAAAGTGGAGGATCAGTGAAAAGGAGGACGATCCTCAGTGAGATAAATTGGCACAGTAGCAGCAATGGGCTTATGAGTAACAACAACTGTGAGGATGGCGCAGGACCAGGCAGTGTCTCATACTGTTGTGCATAGTCGGCACTAACTCAACGGCACCTAATAACAACAATCTTTTTATTTTTTTATTATCCTTCACTTCCTGGCTGGCTATCAAATATAAAAAAATTTAGAGTAGCAGCAAAAGCATGAATGTGGGGAATGGGGAATCAAAGATAAAAAAGGAAAACATGCCACCATGTCGCCGCCGCCGGGTCATGTCTGACTCTCTCTGGACCGCGCTTTCCAATTTCTCGATGCCCTCCTTCCCCGGCGGCAGCATATTCCGCCGCACCAAGAGCTGCCGCACCAGTAATCGGAAAAGCCTCATCTTGACCAGCACTTCACCCACGCTGCCG